ACCCTTCATCAGATTTTCTGATGAAGGGTCTAGGCCCGAAACGTCAGCCTTTCTGCTCCTATGATGCTGCTTAGCCTGCTGTGTTCATCCAGCTCTGCACCTTAATGGAGTTAGGGGCCTGTTTTAGTAGCTGTAGCTAATTTTCTCCCTAACTGCATTGGGGGTCTACCTACACCAGATGGACTGTAGTGACTTAAGCAGATAGCTCACCATCAAGGGCACCTAAGGATGGTCAATAAATGCTGGCCCAACCAGCCATGCTCACATGCCACTAGTCAAAAATCCCATCTCCAGTGAGATCACTAAAATCCCACTCCTTGCTCTTTCCCCACAGACATTAAAACCTTTTCTTTTAAAGCATATGTCTAAATCATTATTCAAAATTACTAATGAATCTGAATACATCATCAGACAATACATTCCAGATCATCATAACATGCCTTAAAACAAAGTCCTTCTTATTACCCATTTTGTTCTTTTGCCAATTATCTTAAATCCGGTTTCCTCTCGTTACCAGACCTCCTGCCAATGGAAACTGTTTCTAACAATCACTTTGATGTAACCGCTTATGTTTTTGAACTTCTCTGTTAAATTTCCCTTAATCTTCTCTTCTCTGCATCGAGGAATCCCAGTGTTCCCAGTATCTCATAACTGAAGCCTCTCATCATTGGTATCATTCTTTTACATCACCACTGTATCTCTTCCACTTCCTTGACATCCTTCCTAAAATGTGATGCCGAAAATTTAACACATGACCCCACCAGTGCTCCATTGTGATTTATAAAGACCGAGCATGACTTCTCTGCTTTATGCATGATGTTCTCGTTTATAAAAACGAGGATTTATATTTTAACATTCAAATCAATTTGTCCAACCTCCTTTAAAGATTTATGTACACGAGTCCCAAGTCTCTCTGTTCCTGAAACCCTATAAAATTGTTCAACTTAAATTATATTGTATCTTTTCTCTTCTTTCTAAACACGCTTGCCTTGTATTACATTTCATCTGCCATGTGCCTGCTCATCCCAACAGTGTGTCTCTCTTCCTGAAATTATTTAGCATCCTGCTGATGGTACACTACTTTTCCAAATTTTGTGTTACCTGGAAAGTATACCTAATCCAAACTTTTAGTCAGTCACGTTATAGCTGTGATAGAGCTATAAATGCCTGTTGAACAGAACTTCATTGTTGATCATTATTCTGCTTCTGTCTCTTGGCCAATTCTATACACATTTTGCCATTTTTATTTCAACATGTGCTTCAATTTCTGCTAATGTCAATTAAGTAGCATGCTATGTACTTTTATCAAAAAGAATGACAAAGCAGACTTTGGCAACTCCAAACCCCATTAGTCTCACTTCCATTAAATGTAAAATGCTAACATTGATTATCAAGATTAAAGTTGATATTATCTTTGCAGAGAAAAACAAACACCAGGGAAGATAATGGAACCGTTTTGGAGTGTACAGATCTTTTGGGCAGTAGGAAGAGACCAAGATATAGTTACTGATGGTGCATGGTGGAACATAGTTTGAAGGGAAGCTAATGCAGAATTGCAGAGTCATTAAGTGTTACCACAGAAGAATCACACTTCTGTTTTAGCATGTGAATGTTTTGATCTCTCCCTGATTCAAATTTGTCCAATCACTCTGCAATTGTTACTGACCATCAAGACCATTTCCAATATTTTCATGTCATGGCTTGATACTGAATTCAATTAAATTTGTGTCTATATACAATCATTTTATGATAAGTAATTGTTTGAAATCAGTTTTAAAGAGAAATATGTATGATTTTACCAGTAAAATTATGTTTTGAAATATAATATTGTTGATACAATTAAAAGTATGCTTTCAGATTTCAGGGGGATGCTAAAGTTGGCCTTGGTATCCCGGATTTGAAGAGATCTAAAACCAAGGCATACACTTTTAATTGCAACCAAATATTGAAAATTACTTTTGCTGCTATTTGCTTCTTTCCACTTGCCAAGTGGGGTCTATCTGCAAATAGGAGCAGCACCAGGCATACCTGAAGATGAGGTATCAACCTGGTGAAGCCACCAAACTGGACTACTTGCACACCAAACAGCGAAAGCAGCTAGTGATAGACAGAGCTAAGCAATCCCACAACCAACGGATCAGATCTAAGCTCTGCAGTCCTGCCACATCCAGTCGTGAATGGTGGTGGACAATTAAGCAACTCACTGGAGGAGGCTCCACAAATGTCCCCATCCTCGATGATGGAAGAGCCCAGCTCATCAGTGCAAAAGATGAGGCTGAAATATTCGCAGCAATCTTCAGCCAGAAGGGCCGAGTAGATGATCCATCTTGGCCTCCTCCAGTGGTCCCCAGCCTCACAGGTACCAGTCTTCAGCCAATTTGATTCACTCCACATGATATTAAGAAACGGTTGGAGACACTGGATACTGCAAAGGCTATGGGCCCTGACAACATTCCGGCAATAGTACTGAAGACTTGTGCTCCAGAACTTGCCGCTCCCCTAGCCAAGCTGTTCCAGTACAGTTACAACACTGGTATCTACCCAACAATATGGAAAATTGCCCAAATATGTCCTTTACACACAAAGCAGGACAAATCCAACCAGGCCAATTACCGCCCCATCAGTCTACTCTCGATCACCACCAATAAGAGAGAATCTAATCACTGTCCCTTGACATTCAACAGTGTTACCATCACTGAATACCCAACTATCAACATCCTGGGGGTTATCATTGACCAGAAACTCAACTGGATTCACCACATTAACAGAGTGACTACAAGTGCAGGCCAGAAGCTAGGAATACTGTGGCGAATAACTCACTCCCTGACTCCTCAAAGCCTGTCCGCCATCTACAAGGCACAAGTCAAGAGTGTGATGGAATACTTCCCACTTGCCTGGATGAGTGTAGCCCCAACAACACTCAAGATTCTTGATACCATCCAGGACAAAGCAGCCCGCTTGGTAGGCACTACATCCACAAGTATCCACTCCCTCCACCACCAATGCTCGGTAGCAGCAGTGTGTACTATCTACAAGATGCACTGCAGAAATTCACCAAAGATCCTCAGACAGCACCTTCCAAACCCACAGCCACTTCCATTTAGAAGGACAAGGACATCAGACATATGGGAACACGACCACCTCCGAGTTCCCCTCCAAGTCACTCACCATCCTGACTTGGAAATTTATCGCCATTCCTTCATTGTCGCTGGGTCAAAATCCTGGAATTCCCTCCCTAATAGCATTGTGGGTCAACCCATAGCTGGAGGACAGCGGTGGTTCAAGAAGGCAGCTCACCACCACCTTCTCAAGGGCAACTAGAGATGGGCAAGAACTGCTGGCCCAGGCCGCGATGCCCACATCCCACAAATGAATAGAAGAAAATTGGTGTCTATGTTTAGATTTGAATATTGTGCTGAGTATTAATTTTCAAATCTTTTTATAAAAACGCATTGCCAGCCTCATGCAAAACATATGAAAAAAAAAGTATCGCTATTAACCTGGCTGGTTGGATACTTTGTTAACACATAAAGAACAGGATATGTTTACTTAAAAGCACGTTTGATCAGGTTCCAGAACATGTTGTCCAACCCAAATCGAATGTTCTCGGCAATCAGTCCACATAGGAAGAGATTGTCCTGATTTAAAAATATATTTCAAAAGGATAATTTACTCAAAAATGTAATGATGGTGTAAGCTTGTCTGATTCCCAAGTACAAACCCTTGAGGTCTTTCGAGAATTATTTTCCCTTGCTGTGATTTTTGCTTTTACAGTGCATGCACTGAAATTGGTGAAGGGTTCACTCTTATGGTGAAGGGTTTTTATGGCCTAAATCTTGAATGTAAAGGCAGGTACAATCAGATCATTATCTATTTCAGCTCTGCTTTGATGATGTTTCAGCCAATTTCAGTAAATTCCAACTTGAACTGTGGAAAAATCTTGATGTTTTTTAATTCCCACTGATGTAAAATTTTGTCTTCTATTTGGCCCCACATCTGTTTTGGGAAAATAAGCTAAACAATATTACTGCTCTTTTATCATTATCAGTAAAGCAGTTTTATCATGCAAGGAAGGTGGGAGAATATTGTTAATGCTGTTCACAATATGCTAGTAATATATATGTAATGCAAATATAGAATATAAGAGATAAAATATTTCTTGTTAATCATACATTTCTGAAATGTTCCTTTCCCTGCTCTTGGCAATGTAAAAATAAAAGTGCTTCTTCTATAATTGGGAATGTAACCACTGAGATATTTAAACTGTCTGAAACTGCTTTCAGTGAATCAGATGTAATGAGGTAACACATAAGCATTAGTAACTAAATTGCACTTCTGTTCATTCTGAGCTGCTTAGTGTTTTTTTGGAATTCGCTAAAATGTGTAAACTTTATGTTTATGTATGATTAACAAACAATATTGTAAATGGCATGTTTCTTTTAGGCTGTTGCTTGACTATGTTATATGCATCTTTTAATGAAGGTGATATTTCAGTGGTTTCAAATCTCACTATCTGATCAACCCATTTTGGTGAAAGAATATAACGAATTCTGATGTTGTTATTTTTGAAATATTGTAACTTTGTGGAGAAGTCGTTCCTACGTGCAGATTAATGCATTAACCAACAAAATAGTAAATCTAGTGGGGATAAAGCAAGCCAGGATTGGTAATGAATAGTATGTGAGACAGTGCAACTCTTTATCCCTGGTCCACAAATGAGAATGCTGTTAACCCTACCAATTGGCATAATTTTACCCAGCCATGTCCGGCTGGTGGAGTAGACTTGATGGGCCGAATGGCCTAATTCTGATCCTATATCTTATGGTCTTATTGTCCATCCTTTTTGGTCACCAGAGTACCATTTATTTTGTCGAAGAGCCAGCAATATCTTTTTAAAAGAAAACTAGCATCCTCCTATAGATGTGCTCATGATGTTTTAGGGATTGAGCTCATAGTTGTGGCCAGTTAGCAAAGTTGGCTAGAGTGTGATGCACAATGACACCTAAAATGTGTTCTCGATCCCCGTACTGTTTGTGGTACCTCATGAAGGCCTGCCTTCTTGCATTCTCCAATGCTCAAAATGGAGTGTTGTCTCTCGAGCTGTTGTTTTGCCTTTGGTTCCTTGTGGACTATGATTAATTATCTAATTACATAGCTCATACTTGACAAAAAAGATCATCAGTTTGTATTCCTGTGTAACATAGAAAATAAATTTCTTTTATAATCTATGTGCTTGGTATTGAAAGCACTGATTATATCTTTAGTATATTGATATTATTTAATATGTTTTTCCAGAACCTACAGAATTATATTCAACTCGCCACAGTGATATATACAACACAGCAATCGAAAGCATGTCTCTTGTTTCTTCTGACCCAGATAATCGACTAGGTAACTTCAAACATGGAACAATTTATGGTATTTCTTGATTATCATTGATACCCTTCAGCTTTCTTGACGCAATGTCACTAAAACTGCTCACCATCCGATTCCTTTCCTGTCTCCTATGCTGCTGATATTATAAATAATTTGTTTTACTTGGATGCTTTGCCCTCTGTTTTTGAAACTCCTGTCATCTCAGTCTAATTCGAAGTGCACTCCCTCAATTGCTTAATGTGGACTACCCCATTTCCTCCAACCATTATTTCTACACCAAAGTTCTTGAAATGTCTTGTCAACTCCAAAATTCATGCGCATCTTTACCAAACTCCAATGTTTGTGTTTGAACATTTCCATTCTTGCCATCACACCTGTTAATACAATCAAAGTTACCAAGTACATACTCTGTGCCTCTGCCCATAGTGCACTATCCTCCTGATTGTTCTGATATGGTGAATGACACCATCTTCTTTCAACTAAATGGGAATTGCCCAACTTGGTTACACTCGTTCGTATTAAATCGGAGGTAAATATTTCAAATAATAGATTCTATTCCTGTTTTTTGTATGTTCGGTCGAAATTCCCCTAGGATCGGACTTTGTCTTCCTGACCCTCCTTATCCACATGCTTTCCATGGTGATAACATCAGTAACATGGGGTTAAATTTCCACGCGTATACTGATGCCACCCAGCTGTACTGCTCCAGTTCTTCAGTCGAGTGATTGCTTATATTTCCAGACTGACAGCCAATATCCTTCCCCATCACTGGTTACTGTTTCAGTGTGAACCAGACTTTTTGCAACTCTGTCCCAATTTCTGCCACACACATTCTTTTATCCCATATCTTCTCCACCTTAAAGGTCTTCTGCTTCCACCTTCTGAAATTCACTGATCTATGCCTCAACTAAGCCTATCTGCTGGAGACATCAGTAGCATCATTATCTTTGTCATCTCCAAGTTTGACTTTTGTTAACCTTATTCCTTCAGCTTATCCAAAATCTGTTGCCAATATGTAATTGTCTGCTTTTGCTCTGATCCATCCTATCTGATTGCATTTTTTCCCACAAGATCTCCAATTTAAAATCCCAGTTTTGTCTTTTCGTTTGTTGCCCTTCCACATCCCAACAAGTGACTATCTTTAGCTGAAGCATGTTTAAACTTGCTAAGATTCTGTAAGTCAAGAATCTATACAATTCAGGTCTCAAGGTAGAACCGACAGAGGGAAGTGTTTCCATCATATGTTTCTGATTAGAATCCAAAGAGGGTTGCCAGTGAGCCCTAGTTTGTGAAAGTATGGCTTTTGCATGTGCTGAAATAACATTATTGCCTTTGTAATTACATTCGTATAGGCTGAAAAAGGCAGTGCTTTGTGATCTGTAACTTTTATTTCTCCAATTCTGACTTCATTTTTTTCATCCCAGAATGTACTTCATCTGTGCTTTCTGTTGCCTAAACTCTAATCTCTGGAATTATCACCCTGAGCCTCTTCTGCTATCTAACTCTCCTTTCCTAAGGTATTCCTTTAAAATCTGCCTCCTTCACCAAGCTTCTGGTCAGGTCTCCTCCTGTCTGATTGTGTTTTGGTGTTGCAGTTTATTTGGTCATGCTCCTGCAAAGCCTGTTGGGATGTTACACTGTGCTAAATGTACTGTATAAATGGTAGACATTTTATTGAATCATTTGATTGCTAAATGTTCATGTATGAGTATTTGTGGGATCGAGATAATCAGTGCTACTTCTGCTTCTCTGTGCTGACAGTCCACAGAAATGATGATGTTCGAAGGTACAGTTCTCAAGCAGAAGATGAATTCTTGGCAGAGTCTTACATTACAAATAAGAGATCCTCTAGGTACTTTTTTACTTTTACAGTTATATTTTTAAAATTCATAAAATGGACTATTAACTTATTATTAATTTATTGACATCATGGAATATTCTTTATAACACATTCCAATCACAAAATGTATATGGTACTTGTGTGCTCATTTGTATGATTATTCACTATTTTGCATTCTCTTCCAAGAGAGCTCCCGTTGTACGAGAAATGGAGGTTCTATCATTCATTCATTGGAAAGTTTCTTTTTCTGTCCACTGCGATTTACTTCCTTATTCCTCCAAGATTGCATTGGATGCATTGCTTATATACAATAATTCCCACATTGTTAGCTTTTGCCTTAATGGTTGTGAATGAGTACAAAACACACGTTTGTGAGGCCTAGTTTAATCTGTCAATTTAAGGCAACTGGATTATTTTGTAGCATGATATAAATTAGTTGCTGAACTTATTCCAACTACAGATACCTGTAATAAATAACAAAACATTATCCTATCTTGTGTCATCCAATTGTTTTTTGAGCAACCATTAAGATTTCTGTTCCTAAAATTGCCATTTAAAATGGAAGATTACTGTGTAGATTAGTTTCATCACTATAGTTGTGGTTTATCTGAATTTATAAACCTTTGAGTAAAATTTAGGAAAAACGCATCTTTGAAATGAGGGTAAAAATTTGAGAAAACGGTGGAGCTCAGCTCAAGGAAACGGTTTTGTGCATCTTTCCAGGGTACAATCCTTGATCTGCCAGTCTTGGTGAGATTGATTTTGGTAGTCTCTCCAAAATAGTTAATCATCTGAGGCAATGGTGAAGCTCCTAGAGTTCTGTTGTTCTGTTTGTCCTTAAATCACACAGTTAATAATTATGGCACCTGATGTACAAAAGGAGTAACGCAGAATCACCTTGCTCATGCAAAGTTTGAGAACAGTTAAAATTTTCATTAAATCATCCTGATTCCTGGTTAGTCAATATAGAAAGTCATTGCAAATTTTTTTATACAATAAAGCAAAATTTATGTGACCAGTTTATTGGAAAAAAAATGCACTGTATGATATTGTTACAGAGAAAATGGCATATGATTTGTTTGAAGGCATACACTATTTTAGTAAAATGAATTTAGAAATGAGTGTTTAAAAATCATGAAACAGATATGTTGGTTACCACTTGAGAATGGCTATTTCATTAGGTCCAGGAAATGCTGATTGCAAATGTGCCCCATGAGAAACAATCGTCTCTTAATCTGGCCATGTTTTGGATCATTTCACTGAGAATCCTGACCATAGCTGAACAGTCATAACTAAAGGGAAGAAAGGACAACATATTTTTTGTCTGTGCCTTTGAATCTTCAAGTTAAAATTGGAAGATACATATGCAGTTTTTAACCCTGGTAGTCTTGGAAAACGAGCATAGAACCCGAGTGATATATCATTTAAAGTTCTAAAGTTTTGTTCATTTAAAAAAAAATCTGTGATGTAACGATGTGCGCTTTTAAGTATTATAATTTTTCCTGCATGTTTTCATGAATATGTATTTTAAGTACAAAGATTTTATTACTACCACAACCACAATGATTATTATCGTTTGGTGTTTCCACAGAAAATGTAATAAAGAAAACATGAAGCAAAATCTTACAGATGATCATAGAATGCTTCTTTATTTTTAAATGTTGCTTCCTTTTAAGTTTTCTAAATTTAATACATGGTGAAGCTTTTTCATTATCGTTACTGTTGTCAGAGATGCATTTTAAATCATTTGCTTAAGTTGACTGGAAATCTGTTTTCCCCCTTTCCTCCAAACAATATAGAAGGAGGTCACTGGGCCTGAAGTATTAACTCTGCTTTCTGTCCACAGATGCTGCCAGACCTGCTGAGTTTCTCCAGCAATTTCTGATTTTGTTATTAATGCTCGCAGTAGACTGACAAAACTGCACGTATTTGTAATTGTTTTGGAATTCTGTCTTGTTAAAAGAAATAAACTGAGTCATCAGAGTGTTGGAGGATTGTGATTTTTATGTACGATAAGCCAGGACATCAGTGGTTGCCCTGATCAAAAGCAGAGGAAACAAATTAGTGAGTCATTTCGTGCTGTTGCTTGTACATGACTTGCTTATAGGACAGCATTGCCAACTTACCAGACAGTTATCAGTTGATCAACATGGGGAGAAAATAAATCTCAGGGCAAAGAGAAATAAATTTTTAATTTATAATTGGGTAAAAAAAAGGAAGTGACTAACTAAGCATTCACAAATGCACTAATTTAGACCTTTTGTAATTCTGCAGCTTATATGAAATTTCAGCGGATGAGAATATTGTGAGCCAGGAGTTAATGCTGAAACGGCAGGAGGAAGAACTAAAGCAGCTGCAAAACAGATTAAATCGAAAACAGTACCAATCAGGACTTCATCAAGCTGATATGGTCAAAGCATCCATGTTAGATGTCACCAGGGATCCTTTAAGAGATGTCGCAATGGAAACATCCATGACACAGAGAAAGCTGAAGGTAAGAACGTTGCTTAGTTTGAAGCACAAAGCTGTCTTAAGCTCATGCTCACTCTCTCCCTTGCTTACACTCTCCTTCTCTATCTATCTATCTATCTATCTCTCTATCTTTCGCTCTTGCCCTCTCTTTCACACAGGCCTGAATGTTTTCTGTATGCACTCATATGATGCTGGCTGGCCAGAATTTATTGCCCGTCCCTAGCTGCCCTTGAGAAGGCGATGGTGAGCTGCATTCTTGACCCGCAGCAGTCCACATGTTGTAGATAAACCCACATTGCCATTAGGGAAGGAGTTCTAGGATTTTGGCATATAATATCTCTGAGGAGCAGCACAGTCAATTTCCTTCTGTCGGATCTAACACACCTGTTGTCAGCACCTATAGGCCTAACTCTCATTCTCCCCACCCACAGATTTTAATTTCTCTTGTCCCTACACTGGCATCTCCCCATGACCTTCACAGTGCCCATACCTTACAGATTTACTGCTGCATTTAGAGGCTTTGGGCTGAGTGAAACCACTCACTTTTCACTGCCCTTTACTCTTCCAGTCTCAGACTTTTACTCTAGTGAACCTATCAGTAGCAAATGAAGGAGAAAAATGGGCTGTGCTTGAAGGAGCAGCTCACTGCAAATCCTTTAGTTGCACTTCCCTTTATTTTGAACAAAGGTTTGTCAGGCCGTGTAGGACCCCTTGGCAGGCTACATTGTGGCCCACCTGCTACCTGTTACACCAACCTGTTCTTGAGTATTATTTATTTTTACAAATAGGTAGTGTATTATATCACTTCAGACAGGAATAGGACACATCATCCGGGGCTGGAGTCATGTGAATCAATTTTTTAGTACCATCCAGTTGCTTTTCTGATTTTTTTTTTAAATTATGGCACCAACCCTGTAATTACAAGTTTTATTGAATTTCTGGCCATAGTGGGATTTGAAATCACATCTTGTGAGTTTTTTGTCCAGCGGCATATGGCTGTTCCACCTGCAGAAGACAGAGGTGACTTAATTTGTTTTAATACATTTTGTACAGCAAACTATTTGAAAGGAAGCAGATTCCTCTTACAGGGTTAGCCATGTATAGGCAAATGATAGATGATTTAAATTGGGATGAACATGTTTAGTTACTGCAGTTTGATCACATTATTATTAAATTTAATTTTTTAAAGCAGGTTTCAAATAATCATTCATGCATCTTATGCTGTTTAGCTTGAGCACGACTCACAGAAATTGTTGGTAAAAGATGGAGTCTATATTAAAGGCCACTTTTGTTGTCATGCACTTTTGGTTTAAGATTTAGAATATGCACATGATGAATTACTGAAGGAAGTCTCTAAAATTGTGGCCACATCAAAGAATTATCTGTGAAGAATGATTGTGTCAATGATCCATTATTTGCTCCCCTGCCATTCTTTCATGGTACAGAAATAATCGAGGCATTCTTTATTTTTACCTTCAGAACTTCTTCGGACCTGAGTTTGTTAAAATGATCAGTGAACCTTCTGTCGCACTCGAGCTTCCTGCTTCAATTCTGGTAAGATTACTGGGAAACCTTTTATCCACTAATCAGATAAATTTGTTCAAAATTGAACTCATTTTTGAAAAAAGATATAGACACTATCCCATAGTCTTGCGTGTGGGGTATTCAAGATCAGGATCAGTATTCTTCAGCAAAGTAGACACTGGAGCATAGGTACAGTAGATCAGGCAAGACAGCTGGAAGATGATGTGTAGGGGCGGGAAAGTCAAGAGGGAAGACAGAAGGGAAAGAATAGGTGGAGTAGGAAGAAGAAGAGTGTTAAGAGGGTCTGAAAGAGATAATTGAAGGTTTGAAGGTATTGGAAGAGCAAGGGATAGGAGTGCACTCTTGTCTAAAAGTCCTCTCAGGTGAGCAGTACCTAATTCCGCCATTGTGTAGGATCTGGGGGATTCAGTGCTGTGTCAATATTTCCAATGCTGAGCACTCACCTCAGGGCTTGGAATATATTGAACTAAAAGTGATGTGTTGTGCCCTCGGTCAGTCAGGAAGCTGCAAAGATTGGACTGTCACTGCTGCTGTTTTGGTATTTAATAGTTGTGTATTCTTTTGGCTATCATTATTCTTAACTTGAAACTGAGCTATCAGGTGGAAGTCATGTTTGAAAGAGAAGCAGATACTTGAAGAACTGAAGTAATTGGACATTTAATTGGGTTAAGTTGGTTAATAGGTAAGCATAGCAAAGGCAATAGGGTTTCTCTGCTGGAGATCTAGCCATGTGCCTGACCAAGCTATCCCTGTAGAGGTTCAACAGGGACAACTATCTGCTACTGTGGAAATTGCCCAGATTTTTCTTGTCCACAAAATGCAAGAAAAATCGAACTGAGCTCCTATAATCCTGCTCAAGCTTAGCAGTAAATGAATGGAAGCCGTTAAAATTGTTGCTCATAGGCAACACTTATTCACCATTTATTCCTTGCAAATTTTTCACCAAAAACCCACACACAGATGCTCAGTTTAGCTTCCAATGACTCAAGTCATAAATCATATGATGATATTTATCCAGACACCCAGAAATTTGCTTAAATACACTTTGATGAAAAAAAAGAAAAACTGCAGAAAATCTAGCTGTTATGCATATGTTCATTTTGTAAGAATCTTTTGACTGTCCCTTTTATCTATTCACACAAGCATGACAGTTGGGTGTGAGTATTGCCTTTTTAATGTCTGGCTGACTTTATTTTAAGAATTGTACGGCTATTTAGGAATTTTTTTGAAAAAAGTTAGAACATATTTGCTTGAATTTGGGTAAATGGACAGTGTATTAATAAACACATAATGCTCCTTAATGAATGATTGCAGACTAAGAATGGAAAGGGGGAGGACATTCGTCGTAAAGTAAACATCATGTTGCTAAGTGGACAATGTTTGGAATTGACCTGTGACACCAAATCAACATGCAAGGATGTATTTGATATGGTGGTTGCTCACATTGGCCTGGTGGAACATCATTTCTTTTCCTTGGCATATTTAAAAGGTCAGTGGATGACTATCGAACATTGTACTATGCAATTATTGTATTTATGAGCTTGATACTCATAGCAAAGAGGTTTGAGTATTAGTGTGACAATTCTTTCAATATGTAATATTTTTTCAATACATGTTCCGCATCAGCAAGATGTTGAGATATAGGAGACAGACATTAAGTTTTTCTTCAGTACAAAATAATGTCTTATAAATAAAGGTAAGTAAGGTATTATAGTACATACGGAGCTGTTAAAGCACAGAAGGAGACCATTCAACCCACTGTGTCTGTTCTGTTTCCCCACACCTCTGCAGTACTTTCTGTTCAGTTGATTATCCAGTTAAGACCATTCACACAGGTGATGAAATAGACCATTCAGCCCATCGAGCCTGCTCCATCATTCAGTGAGGTCATGGCTGATAATCCTCAACTCTACTTTCCTGCATTTTCTCCATAACCCCTGATTCCCTTATTGGTTAAAGATATGTCTTTCTCAGCCTTTAATATACTAAACGGTCCAATCCCTATAGTTCTCCATGGTAAAGGATTCCTCAAATTCAAAACCTCTCTGATTCTCAATTGTATTAACCACCTGATTTTTTTTTTTTATATGCATCCATTTGTGGCTTCACATTGCTATTGCTTTGTTATCTAGGGTGTTCTGATTTTTTTCCCCCCAATCAATACCTTGTTCGTACTTAAACCAACTCTGTTTCAAATGCAGCCCATTATTCTTTTACAGTTTTGCCTGCTAGCTCTGGTTCTACTTGGGCTAAATCTGTTCTCATCCCATTGAAGGTTAGCCCTCCCACATTTTTTTAAAATTATGGATTGTTCCTGTGTCACAGGTCAATTCCTAACAGTGTCCACTTAGCAACATGATGTTCCTTGTCCTCTTCCAGAGCTAATCCAGTTCTTGTGGTACTATCCTCTATATATTCCTCTACTGAAACTTGATTCACTCAACTTGTGTCATTCCCCAAATCAGAACCTGGAAAGCCTCCTTTCTTGTTGAACTGGAGACTGTGATGTGGATAATCCTCCTGAGCACACTCAGCTCTTCTGTTTTTGTTGATTATGATTCCAATCTATATTGGGTTAATTAATGTGTCCCATGATAATATTGTATGATCTTTGCACCTTTCTGTTGTTTCCTTGCAAATTTTTCCCTTATATGTGGCTCAGTGGTTAGCACTGCTGCCTCACAGCATTAGGGACCTGGGTTTGATTCCAGTCTCGGGCGACTGTCAGTGTAGGCTTTACACGTTTTCCCCATGTCTGCGTGGGTTAGCCATGGGAATTGCAGGGTTACACGGATAGGGTAAGGGAGTGGGTCTGGGTGGAATGTTCTTTGGAGGATTGGTATGGACTCGACGGGCTGATTGGCCTGCTTCCACACTATAGGGATTCTGCGATGATGATTCTATGACATTTTGTCTGTGGGCTTCTGATTTTTGCTTATATTTTAAATAACAATTTTTAAGCCTGTACTTGAAATTAACTTTATAGCTTTGTCAGACAGCAGCATTTGTGTTCATAGATAAGAAGTGTAGCTTGCTGTCAATACTACCTCTAATAGTATCTCTTTGTAGTGATGTTATATTAAATATGCAAATATTTTGATTATAGAGTTGATAAAACGCTTCTGTTCATATACATTGTCCATTAATTTAATTCAGTGGATTGAAACTCATAAATTTATGGAATTACTTCATAGTCGCATACTTATTCTATAATCATATGTAGATAGACTGCTGAAAATGAACAAAAAGGAAACCACTTTTAGATCAAAATGGAACCCTATATGTATTAATGTTACAAAACTGGTAGCTGTAATTCTGTATAATTTGTAATGGTGCCACCCAGGAATAAGTTAAACTCATGCTTAACTGTAATGCGCACAAATAGTGTTTTTTATTAAAATTAGATGTGAAATTAAATGGCTTATTTCTCTTTGTAAAGTGGTTAATTGCAACTTCTTTAGGAACAATTCAAAGGTTTGTCTGAATAGTTTATTTGTTTAACTCGTTGTGCATTGGTTCCAGGCTTTTAAAGCAATTTGCACTGTCCAGTACCTCACTTATATTGCCTGCTTCTGTTTCTGTTTTGAAAGAAGTTTAATAGCTTAGTGGGTTATGAAAATTGCTAGTATAGCTAATTATTAAAAAAAACACAAGCTGTAGTAGAATTCTCTTTTTCCCGAGCAGCACGTTTGCCACAAGAGGAATCATTTTCTGGTTGAATAAGTTATAACTCATGGATTAGACGGTGGGGGCTCACCTGTGTGGTGTCAATGAGTTTTTTTTCAAATATGTAATAATAGCAAACATGACTTGTTAAAAGCATCAATCATGTTTGCAAGGATATCAAAAGTTCTCGAAAGAAACCAAGTGCTGGTTCCTGTATATCTCTCAATATACATCAAGAGCTGGTTCTGACCAGTATTAACCATTTTCTTTATACTTAATTCTTAACCAGGGTTCTCATCATTAGACCTTTCCTTCCCTTTATAATTAGGATGTAGTGTAATGTATATATTGGATGTTTCTCCTGCTTTCCTTGAAGTGCGCAGGGAAGGGATATGCTGCTGATACAGCACTATGGAATAATTTACTTTACTCTGGGAAATCTCCCGTTTTTCAAGTAATCGGTTCAC